GACAATAAAATAAGTGCCCCACAGAAGAGGTGGTCATATCCTTTCATCTTGTAGTATACGATAAAGTGCTTCTAATGCTTTCTTGTGCACCATAGTACATTCATCCTATAAAATGAGTTGACATACTTTGTCCATCGCAGAATCTTTGATGATATTGCGTCTTGGTGTCTCACTGATTTGCATTCTCAACAAAAATTTAAATGTTGAATACGCTGTTTGGTGACCATCTAAAAGAGTTTCTACAATTCAGAAGATGCGTTTGCCAGTGCAATATTATTTCGTGATCGTATGGTTACTAAAATAAGTGAAACGAGAAACGTTTTGCCTGTGCCTCCGGGCGCATCTATGAAACACAATCAAGCTGTTTGGCTTGTAATTGCATGCATAATTCTGTCATATGCTATGCGCTTTTCTGGAACCAATTTTAGAAGATCGTGTGAACAAATGTACCTAATTTGTTGACATCAGCGTGTGTTTCTCGTTGCAATTCACGATCAAAAAGGTTGTTTGCTGATCGTTCTGACGCAGCCAGTCCCACTTGTACCAGTACTTTATTAGTGATTGCCAAAATGTCCTAAATAAATAACCAATTCCTCAATAAATACCTTAGTTGTGAAGTGTAGGACTGGATTTTGATGCATTGCACGTAAGCGATGTAGAATGTATTCACTCATGTAGTCTTTGTATTTTTCATGAAGCTCTTTTATATTGGATGGGAAGAGTGTTGTTAATCATTGTGTGCATCATTGTCAAGAAGACTAATTCTAGGCAAGCTTCACGATAAGTAGCACATACTTTACCGTTAGCTATTCTCACGTCTTGGAAGGATGTCGGTCCACGTTCGTTGATTAACAGTCATAGCTAGTACAAGCATTCTGTATTCTTTAGATGAAAAGTGTACAGACGGCCTAGCGCATTTTTAGAATATAAATTGGGATGTCCTTCAACTGCGTTACCTTGTTTGCGACGTTAAAACTTTTTTCGCAGATGCATTCCGCGTGTAGAATGTTGGCAGGTCAGAGTAAAGTAGCGACAGTGTAAAGATATCATCTCTACACAATGAGAAAAAGGCAGTTAACGTGGTTGGCGATGATGACAATGCATGTGCACGTGCATTTTCTGTTGTGAAGTACACGCACTGTCTATTTTTAAGGTGGACTGCTAAATGAACAACTGTTGGATGGCGTTTATGAATTGGAGATGACAAAATGTGCCATACTGCTTCACTGCTACCAATGTAACGTCCTAGTTGCTCGATTTCATCCATAGATGCAGTTGTATGTCCCACTCTAAAAACTTCCATATCGCTTCCTTTGTTGACGTATTTGCAAATTTACTTCATCGATTTCACCAAATTGCAACACTCGACATTGAGGTGCGCTTTGTACGTCTTCGAGAGTAACGGTGAATACAGGACAACCCAGCCATTATCGACTTTAACATCATTGTTTCGCACGTTTAAAGTGATGGATTTGCCGCCATCTTCAGCTGATCGTCGACGATAGAGAGGATATCCGTCATTGCCAGTGATAGTCTCGGCATGTAAGTCTGTTGGGTATCGTTTCATGCATTTTCCATCCGACATGCATGGTGAATTATTGTTGAGTAAGCCGCATGGACCAGGAATTGTGTTTCTTGTGACGACTTGAAAACAGTCTGGATCAATGTGGAAATCTGATATTTCTGCTGAGATAACCTGATTAGTTTGATCTGGTGTGACCTTTTGGATGAACCAAATCAAAATGTGTGCATGTGGCTATCCTGTGTTTGTCGTGTGATGGAAAACATCCAACAGCCGGTCTCTCAAACAGACACATTGCTTGAAAATGAAATAAAAAAAAAAATTTTAATGTTTGTTTGAATACACGCTCAGTGATATCATAAAGATCCGATGATAATTGTCCAGGTTACAAAAGTTCCCTAATTTCGTCGCACCAATGTTTGCATGTAAACGGGATAAATCAGTCTGGACGGTCAATATGTCATTGCATCCTGTGCGTATTTATGAATGTTTCGTGGACTCCCTGTAAATGTCACGGGTAGTATGACAATTTTCCCCAGTTCATTTGGATTCACATTGCCCTCATTATTAATTGAACCACGTAACTGAATGTACTCTTCTGAACGCAACTTCGTTTGATCTAATCGAATGTAGAGGAGTCGCTCGGTTTCGATTTTCAACAACGCTCGCCAGCATTGCAGCCACACCAAAAACTAAAATGATGATGTGATCGTCACTGGAGCTGTGTAGTTAGTGCTATAGCCACCTATTTCAAAATATGACAGATAGCATAAAAAACAAACATATCCTGTAAATTTCAGCGAGATCGATTCAATAGTTTCCTAGTCTATATGACACAAACAGACAAACATATATATATATATAATCAGGTGCCTTGCCAACTGGCGTGGGCGATCTTGCCTCTCCATAATCTGCGATCTCCTGCAGCATGTATCAGTTTGTGTGCCGACAGACCTCTATGCCATGCAACAAGACTGTCAAGCATCTTCTCTCGTTGTCTTCCTCTATCCCTCCTTCCACAGATCTTTCCAGTGGTCACAACATGTTCTATTATCCATCTTCTCATAACATGGCCGAAAAATTATGACTGTCTCCTTTGATGTCTGTGATAAGTTGTCCTCGGGTTCCCGTCTCTTTCAAAACCTCTTGGTTGCTCTTTTTTGCTGTCCTCTCTCTCTCTCTCTCTCTATATATATATATATATATATATATATATATATATATATATATATATATATATTAGCACTGTGGACAAAAAGAATAATCTAAAGGCCTCAGTTTTAGATGCATTATTGATTAGTGCAGAACTTAAGAAAGACATAAACCTTAGTTGAGTGATAGCCCATTGAGTATATTCAAGAGACAAAAACGTAAGCTAGTTAAATGCAATGCCAAAACATATAAAACAAGAAATACAGATTACAGAAGACTGCAGCAAGAGAGATAAACAAATTGAAACGTTACGTAAAGCTCCTTAAGAATTTGTTTATTAATAGACTGCCTAGAAAAGGAGAACAAGCAGCTAAGCTCGGGACAGGTAAAATACCATACAATAACTTGTAACATAATTAACAAGTACTTTCAAGCTGCGGTGTGATAAAATTATTAGCTGACAAATTACAAGATATGATACTGAGCAGAGAAGAAGTTACGATGACATCGCTGGGATTTAACCACGATTATGCTTCTGAATGCTAATGCTTATGGATTTCTAGAGTTATGGATTCCGGTGGATGATAGAAGAGTCTAAAACACTGGTCCAAGGAGTCAGCCAGGGAACGCAGGGTCATGGTGATAAAGCAGATCAAGATCGTAGAGGATAAGCTGCGATTAATAAAGGAGGTCCACCAGTCACAGCAGGTTTGATTGATTGACTTGATTCCAGGACTAACATCACAGCACTCAGGACATTTCCGTAAGCTCTCTGTCCCCATCTTCAGCAGCCATCGAAGAGTTCCAATACTAATATTGCCAACAGCATTCTGATTAAACGTCCGTCTTGCCTTCCCTCCGAGACTCGAGCATCTGTGAGAGCCTCTCGTCTCTCCCCACTGCATCAGTCTCACCAGACTGCGGTGATCCATCTTCTCCTCCGAATTGTACACGCTCTCCCACAAGGCACTAACCACGTCTGCCTTATCATGCATCAGTATTCCATCAAGCTGTGCATAGCCAGCCAGTCTTTCTCAACATACCGGTGGGCCCTGAGAAAAAAAAATCTGGACAATACTCCTCACCCGTGTAGTCTCAGCAAGGTCAGTAGGTAGGCTGGGAATGGACCTTGCAGATATCTATGTCCTAATACGATATATGGATCCACGGCGACTTCGCTTCCTTATAAGATCTGCATAGGATGTATTCTCATTAGCTCATAACCTGACCACATAAAATAAGGCTAGTGACGCGGCATCTATTGTGCAGAGAGAAGCAGAGACTCTAGCATATATATAGGTCAAGTGCTTTGCGAAAAGAAAAAGCGTCACGTTCAACCAACATCCACAAACTGGACCTTCGGGTTGTTATTGTGACTAGGCTATGTCCGCCATGCAAAAGAGCTTAACATTGCTGGCCACCAAGTAGCTTTAAAAAGAATTTTTGCAATTTTGATGCGATCATAGGAGACAGACCCACACACTGTCCTGAACGGCTAAGCAGTCGTCTACCGGCGAGCTAATAGGTAACCCAGTCGCCGATGACTACACCCAAGATTTACCGGCGGCAAACTGTGAGCTTCGGCACTTGAGGATAGCTGATTACATCCGCTAGTGCTGGGGCGGAGCCTTGGACGGGGTACAAGAAGGAAACATACCAACATGTGCGGCATCTGGTGTCAGAGCTAGCCAATGGCGGTTGGTGACTAATCTTGGGGTAAGGGTGCAAATCTGGCTCATTCATGGTCAACGCCTTCGTGGCCGCTTTCCAGAAACTGATGGCTGATAGGTAGTGACTAGCAGCGACCATCACAACATACTGTCTGTAGCGTTAACTTTGTATCATTTTGTTGGCAAGAGTGGGAGAACACAGAAGGAGTCACGAGGCCATAGAGTTACGACCCGTGCGGGCTTGCCCGTGGAAAGTGTATAGAATATAGAGAGCCAAAACGCCAGTCGGCACTGGTATATTGAGTCTGCTATTTAGAAGCAAATTATTTGGGCTGTGGTCTCCTTTGTGAGAGACTGTAGTGCTGTTGTGAAATATCTGCAGCTTTCAGCAAATGGCTAATTTTGACAGGAATGCTGCAGTAAATTATCAAGCTTGATAGAGAATGTGAAATTTCAGTTGTATAGCTACATGTTGGTTTTATTATACTTATTATTTTTATCTTTTTTTTCCGCTATATTGATTAAGACTTTATTTGTAAAATTCACTTGTATTTTTCTGTTTCTCAAGTTTCCCATTATGTTTTGAGTTCATTCATTGTTGCTAATAGAGTGCCACCAATTATTAGCATAATTCATAACTGTTCTCATCTCCGTAGAATGGAGCGCTGTCAGCACTGCCCTACTTATGTCAGTTCGTGGCCTCTTTAGGGGTCGGTTATATGGCGGATTTGTTGCTCGAACGAGGTTTCTTGACCACTAAAAGTGTTCGCAAGTCTTTCCAGTGTTTCTGTAAGTTGTATGTTCTTTGCGTTTGTTTTTGTGGAAGGTAGGAAATGGGAGGTGACGGGTGTGTGACTGTAGCGACTGACAAAAGAAACCATGAGTCACAAAAAGAAATCGACGATGAAAAAACTGAATAAGTTACAGACACACAAAAACAGACAGAGGTACTACGCATTCCTTCTCTAACAGACAATGAGTGTTTACAATGAATTTTACAGCCTTTGTAGGGACTGCCGTGTGTATTGCTTGTGTTGGACTAATGAACTGTGAGATGCGACAGTTGGCGGTGGCTCTGCTGTGTTTGTGTACCATCTTCATGAGCTTCAACCGGGCTGGCTATAACGTCAATCATTTGGATTTAGCTCCAAGGTAAGGCACTCCATCTTTGTACCAAATGTTGATTGATGATCTCCAGACACAGGTGAATATTTCCAAAAACTAAGACACCAAAGACTGCTAAAACTACATTTTACATACAAGATCCTGGGTAGAATACTGATTCCATGTAAAACGTCACTTAATCCTAACCTTCTGATATTTGTGACTGCCACGGCCTTCTCTATTTATAGGACAACTGGGTCAACTGGGATTCCCGTTCTTGTGCAAGAATCGAGTCCCTCTGTGTAAACAGTTTTTATCGAGGAGATGTATACACAAATTAAACCACAGTTTAATTTTCGACATATTTTATAGAACTAGACATCATTTTTAAGGTAAATATGTGTGCTATTTAAATATAACAATACATGCTCTTACAGACAAAAAATAAAATTCTTCTGCTACAGGCAACATGAACATAAACATCAATAACGTATAGAAATAAACTGAAAACTATTCCAGTAAAAGTATAGAAATATCAATGCTAACTCTTTGATTCTGAGAGGGTTTTGTTGCATCAGAGGAGCCGGGCGGGGGGGGGGGGGGGGTTGGCATTTGTATTTTATCAAATTTAGCACATAAAAATACTGCTGTGAAACAAACACAAGACTAAAGTCCAGAATTAGATGAACAACCATAAGTTTCTGCCAGTGTTCACGAAGCAGAAAATAATAAAAATGAACACAGACCGTACAACTGCAAATGTGCATGAGATGTAGATGAACAACCAGAAGTTTCTGCCAGTAATCGCGAAGCAGAAATGTAACAAAAATGAACACAGACTGTACAACCGCAAATTTGCATAAGACGTAGATGAATAACCATTAGTTTCTGCCAGTGTTCGCGAAGCAGAAAATTCACAAAAATAAACACAGACCGTACAACTGCAAATGTGCATGAGATGTAGATGAACAACCATAATTTTTTGCTAGTGTTCGCGTAGCAAAAAAATTAAAAAAAATGAACACAGGCCGTACAACTGCGAATTTGCATAAGACGTTGATGAATAACCATAAGTTTCTGCCAGTGTTCGTGAAGCAACATATAATTATACTGTTAGTCAACAAATAGTAAAGAGGCAAAGAGTGACTTACTGTGAGAGGTTAGTTAGTAAATATTGTTTTTATCCACTTACCCAGAGCTCCGAAATATCTTGACACAATTTATCCACAGTGTAGTTGCACCATTTATGCAAAATCAATATGAAAGCAATAGTTTTCTTCCAACACAAAATAGTTTGCACCTGACAACTGTCAATATTCTCCAGATCTGGCTTCTAAATTACCTGTTTGTATTTTCCTCAAAAGTAAGTTTTCCAAATTCAAAGTAGAAAAAGAATAAACAGCCAGTCCCTAAAAATCCAAACTACTGACTCGAAACAGTGACACACACATCACAAAACGACTGTCTCCAGTGAATTTAAATTCAAATTGCTGTAAACTAACAGTAAAGTTTGAAAATCTTGTATATCCACTTCACAATATACACTTGTAGGTTTGTAATACGAATTCATTCAGAAAACAGAACTTTGTAAGCACATTAAAATGTCACACAAGGCAACACATGGAAAGGGCTTACACTAACCAGTTTTCGAGGGACTCCATCCAAAAAGTCCCGTGATTTAGTTAGATAGCGTAATCTAGAGAAGGCGGTGGTGACTGCTATATTTCATACTGTCTTCTCACTAATAATTTAAAAGTTTTCAACTTCCCACCTGACAATGTACTTTTCTGTTACATCATTTCAGTCCTCTCTATTGCCTAGTATTAATCCTACACGTGGAGCTGGTAACAGTGCTAAACGTATAACCTTCTCTATGTAAAAAGTTTTCACTAAAGCGTTGCAATTCTATATCATTCCAGGCTTCCACCAAATTTTCGACAACTGAATATTTATCTGTTATTTCTTCGTGCTCAACTAGTGTTTGGTGTATTCTAAAATCTCTACACCTGTGTCTCTGAGGACAGATATTGTTCGCCTGTGGATTAGCCCTTTTTTCAACTTTAAAATACCGTGGTCATGTGTTCGTATTTGACGTACTCAGTGGGTACTAAGTGGCCGCACAGTAGGTCGCCCTCATCGCTACACTGTACACAAGTTTGAAATTATTTCATTAACATAACACAGTTCAACCAAATTAGCCTCAACACTAGCCCAATGTATGATTTATAGTCCGATGTTTTATTAGCCACTTGGGCCTCTTTAGATTGTCATTGAAACTTGCACTGGGATCGTACATATCTGTTACATGAGAAGCCTTTAAATGCGTTGTTGTACCTCTTTAGCCTATTTTTATAATGGGCAATCAGTTGGTTGAGTTTTTTTTTTTTTTTTTCGTATTCTGGGTTCCAATAGCAGATGGAATCATTCCCGTACCTACTATTACAATATTTCAATCAATTATTACAACATGTTTTTTAAAATAGTTGCGGTCCTTGCCTTATGCTTTCTGTTGTTAGGGTCTAGTGTAGGATGCCGCTCCGACTTAACCAATTTCAGAATTTGTGTTAATAAAAATATCATGATGTGCAACAAAATAGTTTTCTCCAATCTGTTTAAGTTGGCTTAAATTCACAGGTTTGTTTTCCCTAAGAAATGTCGAAATTGCTTATGGAAATGACTCTAACATCTTACTTCGCAAGAGTAGGTCTACTAGAAGTCTATAAATATTCTTTATATTTACAGCTTCTACCCACGTTTGAAAAAGTTGTCTGTACCTCAGATGAATATTCCTTAAACGTCTGACTATTTTTAGTTTAAAATGCAGGCACTGTTTATGGTAACCTTTTCTTAATGCAATCAGAATATGATCTTTTCAATTCATGGATCGATTCTGTAATGTGTAACGGTTCGAAAGCTAAATGTTTCTGGAAGATCAATGCCTAGTCTTGATGGGAGACCTTGTGCATAAGCATCTGGAGTTTAAAATTATGAAACCAGGCCACAATGTTTTCCTTTTCACTTTAATGTCTAACTGTACCATTGTATTTGCTTTCCTTTTTTATTTTTTTATTTTTCGATGGCTTCCTCTATTCTTGAATCAGTCTCCATTAGGTTTAATCTTATCTGTGCCTCTGCTTTCTCCTTCTCTAACTGGAAGTGTACCGCAATTTTCTCACGTGTATATGCTCCTAGTAAACTCCTGCTAGTTTAAAATACAAAGTGTTGATAGAATTCAATGAAATAACCAACAAATTCAAACCCTTAAGAGGTGATTCATGAATTAACATATTAAACCAAGTTCTCTGTCTATTTGGGAAGCTATTAGACAGGTAAAATAATTTTAACCACCCCATTATTAAATATTATACTTTACATGTATACCTATTTAACTGAATAACTGAATAAAAAAGTTATAACTGCTTCTAATTATCATTTAATTGAATTAAAGTTTTAGAAAAAAAAATTTCTCAACAACAAAATAAAATTGTTACATTTGTTGACTTTTGTTAAAAAGTCAAATTAAAAATATTCCTAAAGGAATTCAAAAAAATAATAATACCCTGATAATTATATTCCAGAATTGTATGATGCAAGTTGCAATTTAGTTCACAGCTGTATTGTGAAGAAAATGTTGTTTTTAATACTTGTGTTTAAATGCCAACAATAAATGTATTTGTACCACTCTCAATTGTTAATTTTCTTTACACAGTTCACTTAGCCCTGCTGTAATTATTAATTCTTGGATGTTCTTTCTATTTTTATACTCACCAGTGACCAAATTCAATGTTCAGCTTTTAGCCAGGAAACAACAATAATATTGTCTTTGCATTATATGTTCTGAAAATGAAACAGTGTATACTCGTTTTGAATTTTCTATAAATAATCACAGTGTAAAGTCTCACTATCTTCTTATAATTGTATTCCAATTATTGTAGAGTATAACCCCTCAGAAATGAGTGAGTATGAATTAATAGAATGGACAGAACTCAGTATTAAGTTCTTGTTTAAAAAATTATTTTTTCAATAAGAAAAATGTATGTTTTTAAGGGCTCAGATAGTCTTAATGATGTCTAATACTCAGTGTGATGACGTCTAACAAGGTGATGATGTCTAACAATCAACGCCATGATGTCCAGCACTCAATACAATGATGCATACTCAGTGTGATGATGTCTGACACTTAGTGTGTGATGTCTAATACTCAACGTGATAATGTCTGACGCTGAACGTAATAATCTCTAACACTCAATGTGATTATGTCTAACACTCGGTGAGATTATGTCTAACACTCAACGTCACGATGTCCAGTACTCAATACAATGATGCATACTCAATGTGATGATCTCTAACACTCAATGTGATGATGTCTAACCCTCAATGTGATGATGTCTAACCCTCAATGTGATTATGTCTAACACTAGGTGTGATGATGTCTAACCCTCAATGTGATTATGTCTAACCCTCTATGTGATGATGTCTAACACTCGGTGTGATGGTGTCTAACACTCAATGTGATGATGTCTAACCCCAAATGTGATTATGTCAAACACTCAATGTGATGATGTCTAACCCTCAATGTGATTATGTCTAACACTCGGTGTGATGATATCTAACCCTCAATGTGATGATGTCTAACACTCAGTGTGATGATGTCTGACACTCGGTGTGATGATGTCTAACCCTCAATGTAATGATGTTTAACCCTTAATGTGATTATGTCTGACACTCAGTGTGATGATGTCTAACCCTCATGTGATGATGTCGAACACTCAGTGTGATGATGTCTAACACTCGGTGTGATGATGTCTAACGCTCTATGTGATGATGTCTAACCCTCAATGTGATGATGTCTAACACTCAGTGTGATGATGTCTAACACTCAATGTGATGATGTATAACACTCTACCTAATAATGTCTAACGCTCCATTTGATGATATCTAACACTTAACGTCATGAGGCCGAGTAAGCATTAGAGCCGTGCAGGTTGGGAAGATAATCCGGCCACTGATGGGGACGGAACATGGACCACTGTCAAAGCATTCAAGCCCACACCGGGGATACACAAGCATACATGTCTGTGAAATGTAAACAATATGTATTCACATGCCACATTTCCAATACACAGTTACGCCGGAGTGTTGTTTGGCATCACCAACACTGCAGCAACTATCCCTGGCATGGTGGCTCCGTTGATAGCAGGAATTCTAACCCCTAACGTAAGCTTCTTCAAATCAATCTGTGTACGCTTGTCAATCTGCATATGTTAGCGACTGTACCAGAGAGAAAGACAGAAAGCGCATGTTGTCTTTGTACGTGTGTGTATGATTCTGTGTATATAATAATATTAATTGACTGTTCATTCCGAAACTATAAAGCGCCCTGAGAATACGATGTAAAGACTCAACATGACCAGATAACAGATTATATATACACTTAATTCAATACGTTTTGAAGTAAACCAATTAACTGTGGTCTTAGAAATAAGGCTACAGAACTTAGAAATCAACTACAATGTACTAAGAACAATAAACAGCACAGTATATGTTACATGGAGGCGTCGTGCTAGACCATCGTAACAGCATAATGCCCTTTACCGCCCCCCCCCCCTTTCCAGGGGGGGGGGCACAAACTAGTGTGATTGTCTATTTTTAAGCAACATGCTAGTTAATGAAAATATCTATTCTCTGCGGGAGTTGCCGTGGCGAAGCGGCTAGACGCTCGCCGTGGATCGGATGGTTGTGGGTTAGCCCCCTGGCGAAGCCGGACTTTTTTTAAAAATGACATTGGCTCCCAGGTCGACCCAGCCTTGAGAAGGTACCGAGTGCAGTCCTGGGAAGTAAAGGCGGCCGTGTTGATGCTGACCACGTCACTCATCTTGTGCTACTCGGTCTATAAAATATAGGTCTAGCCCTATATGCCGTTTACGCCTACAGGAGGAGAAAAGGGCCCTTTACTTTACTTTATTTTGCAAGTAAAATGTTAATAAAAGGTATAATTTCTTACACGTGAGTCGGTTTCTCGTTAGTTCACTGCCCTATAAAACATTTTTTGTTCATGTCGACTAGTCTTCCTCTCTCGAAAACGTGAATGGCATAACTGAATCAGTAACGACAGCGCCTGGCTGTAAGAACAACTGCACAGTGTAGCAGTACTGGCCGGTAAAGGATCCGTTTCATGTTAGTGGCACCCCGGACCTAGCATTTCACTCTCCAGATCTTGAATGGAACATTACACGTGTTGTTAGAAAACAACTGGAAGGCAGTGACCATCGACCGGTCTTCCTGAATGTAGTAATTGAGAAGGTCAGAGAAACTAGTACACTGCCAATGTGGAACTACAGGTAAGCTGACTGCACTATGTTCAAGCACCGTACCAGTATACTGATTGACAATCTCAGCGTAGACCAGGTTATAAACAAAGTAGTTAAAGACATTAAAAAAATGCGTACTACAGTTAGCAGGAGAATCAATACCAAGACGTGCCCGTAAGCATTATTGGCCATACTGGAATAGTGGACTAGAAAATTTACGTAACGAAGTGGAAACATCTAGAAAGAAAGCAGAGCCAGGTCAAACCAAAAACATCACAATAACTACCAGTATACTAAGGCAAAATTTGTATGCGCAATGCTGCTGGTTAGACAGGAAAGCTGGCAGGGAAAAACAAAGTCGCTGAACTTTTAAAAAGACACAAGAAAGTTATGGAAGCTTGTAAAACAAATTAATGATGAGGACACAGTATGGAACTCAAAGATTACTCTGCAGAAAGATAGAAACATGGTCACAGGAAAGGGGGCAGCCAACCTATTTGCAGACACTTTTGCTTTACAACATTGAAATCAGTTCAAAGAAAAAACAAAAAATTCAAGAAAAGACACAATTCAGAAGTCAGAAAGAAATAACATCAGAGGTGCTAGAGGTGCCAGTTACACTTAATGAACTGGAGTTGGCCATGTCGAAGCTAAAAACGCGGAAGTCACCACGAGCAGATGGTATATCTAACGTAATGATTTAAAAACCTTAGTAACAATAGCCAAAACATATCTTTTACAGATATCTCATAAACCTAGGAAAGACAGTCCCAATGCCTCCAACTACAGACCGATCAGCCTCACAAGCTGTCTCTGCAAAACAATGAAGCTCGTCACCAACCTCAGACTACAGTGGTACATTGAAAGTGAAAACATCATTACACCACAGCAGGCGGGCTTTAGAAAGTTCTACTCTACGAAAGACAAGACAACATACCTCTCCCAAGAAATCTAGGGTGCTTTTTAAGATAATAAACTAGTATTCGCGGCATGGATATATTTGAGGAAAGCTTTTGACAAGGTATGAAAGGAGGGGCTTTTTAAGAAATTGAGAAACAAAAAAGTAAACGGAAGAATGTACAATATGATTACAGCATATCTACATAACAGAAGAGCACGTGTACAGGTAGATGGTTTTAAAAGTTAAAAAAGTTCTGCTGCGACAAGGCGTCCCTCAAGGCGGTGTCCTGTCGCTCCCACTTTTCCTCTTATTCATCAACGATCTAGTTGCTGAGATACCAAATGGAATTAAAATGGCAATGTATTCTGACGACCTGGTACTGTGGTGCACCAGTGAACATGCAACGATAACCACAAGAACACTACAGAGGGCTACATATGCACGTGCATATTGACGGCAGCATTGTATACATATATAACTAATGTATATGCAGTGACAGGTTGTAAAACTGAACAGCTGATATGTTTGTCATTCATTACTATCTATGACTTTACCAAGGTCAATAGAACCCCCCCCCCCCCTTTTTCCTCCTCTCAACCCCAGCACCACCAGAAAATGTGTAAGGGGGTAAAATCCCCTCCCCCTCCCCCATTTTCTTTATCTCCGCCTCTGGCAGTTTTTATATTCAACCCGAATGGTTTGTCTGTCGCCAGGGGACGGCTGAAGAATGGCGGAATGTATTCTACGTCTGCGCTGCTGTAGCTGCAGCAGGAGCTCTCATTTACTTCGTTCTTGCTGAAGGCAGTCTCCAGCCATGGGCGATTCCTCCAGAGTCGAACCTTGAGATGCACATCGTTGCCGAGCTCCAGGTGACGCCTCTGACTGCTACTGACCAGGCCGGTGCCAGCGATGGTGATGTTAACATTCCTGTAACCAGTGACAACCATGACAATGACAATACAAAATAACTTCCTACCTGCTGCTGTCAGAGAGGAGACACGTTTTGTATATCATTTATGTCTGCATCATTCAGTATTTCAGTGAAGCAAGTTTATCGCCATGATTCGCATGTGTAACTGTTTTATTCTTATAATTATTATTGAAATAAACAAAGTAAAGTCAAAACTATTGCTGATTTTTTTTTAAATATTGGGGCAGTACTCTATGCTTCTTTCCTTGTCGCCGTTTCTTTTCAGGTGTTTTCCAGATAATTTTGTGTCAGACATCAAAGTGAAATGCTAGGGTTTAATCTACACCACTATTTTGACATCAGGGTTCACTACAACACACCGACATCCTCATTGCCTCTAAACAAATGGATGATCCGCAGAAAGCATGGCATATAATAAGGTCCACTACCCCTTTCTCATAGACAGTCCAATATCGTTCTGTCTCAGACAAAAACCTTCTCCCAGAGACAGAGTAAAATAACTCTCTCACAGAGACACCCCCTGTCAATACCCTACACCCAGTGCCCAATACCACTGTCTCAGTACTAAAGCCGAAAAGCCTGTCAGAGTCCGCCTAATATTCCTTTCTCAGATAACCTTTTCCTTCGGGGAAAGGTTACTGGACTCTGTCTCAGAGAGAGTTGTACAGGATTGTCTTTGTCTTTAAGAACTGGGCATCGTCTCTTAGAGAGAAGAATGGGCTCTGTCTCGGAGAGGGAAATGGTATTGGTGTCTATGAATGAAGGGTATACGATACTGTCTCTGAGAGACAATGAAACTGGACTGACATTGAAAGAGCTGTAGCAGACTCTTGGGTAGATGGGTGCTTTTCTCTGTGAGAAAGGTAATAAACTGTTTTGAGAAAAGGGTTTTTAATTTCTACTCTTCAGGGAGGAGTACAGGACCTATCCCTCCTTTCACAGATCTTTCCAGTAGTCACAACATGTTCTATTTTCCCTCTTCTCATAACATGGCCGAAACATGATGACTGTCTCCTTCTGATGTCTGTGATAAGTTGTCTTCGAGCTCCCGCCTCTTTCAAAACCTCTTGGTTACTCTTTTATGGCTGTCCAAGGTATTCTAAGCATTCTTCTGTAAAACCACATCTTTGAGGCCTCAAGAAATTGTTTGGCATGCCTACCGATTGTCCAGAATTCACAGCCATATGGTAAGACTGGATGTTTGTAGCATGCAAGAATTCTTTTTCTAACTCTCAATGACAAGGATATATTGCGCAAGATGTCCTTCATTTTATAAAATGCAGTTTTTGCCTGTCCAATCCTGTTTCTTATCGCAGTTATGCATCTTCCATCTGATGTTATCCATGTGCCCAGATACTTAAATTTCTATACTTGTCCCAAAATAACACCATCGACTTTTATTACAAATTTAGGAATAATTCCTTTCTTTGATACCACCATTACTTCTGTCTTCCCATTATTCAAACTGAGGCCCACTCTTCCACTCTCTAACACCACAATGTCTATCATTTCCTGTATTTCTTTCTGACTTGTTGCTATCAAGACTGTATCATCAGCTTAACGTAATTGTTTATATTGTGCCCACCAACCACAATTCCGGGCATACCAATTAAAGCTCTCATTATATATTCACTGTATATTGAAAACAAATCAGGTGACAGTACACATCCTTGTAGTACGCCCCTCTTTATGCTTTGAAATGTACCAAAACAGTTGTTAGTTCTTATAGCTGCTGTTTGCTGCCAATAGATATTATTTATTATTCGTAGATCTTTTCCATCAATGTTTAATTTTTCTAACAGATTGATTTCTTCTTCATGCTTCACACAGTCAAAGGCTTTTGTATAGTCTATGAAGCATAAGTACAAATCAGTCTTTACTTCTAAAGCTCTTTCTGACAATGTCTTTAGGATGTATATGGCACTGTTTGTACCTTTTCCTTCTACAAATCCACATTGTTCATCGCTGATTTCTGGTTTAATTTTGTTTCTTATTCTTCGCATAATTATTCTCAGTAAAATCTAAGTCAAATGACTCATAAGGCTTATTGTGCGATGGTCTTCACATTTTAAAGTGCCTGGTTTCTTTGGCAGAGCTATAAATATGGATTTTAAAAGGTCATTTGGAAAATACCAACTATTATAAATATCATTTAAAAGTTTAGTTATTATTTCAGTTCCAAAATCTCCCAGTGGTTCGATTTCTTCCAGTGAGATGTTGTCTGGCCCGGGTGCTTTTCCTTTCTTCATATGATGTATTGCATCCTCAACTTCTGCAGTCATTGTTGTTCGACCATCATTTTTGGTCTGCAGTTCTACATCTGGTCTGTTATCATCATTCAAATCCCCTATATACTCTGTCCATCTGCTAATTATATTACTATGTCCCATTATTAAGTCACAATCTTTTGATTTTAAACATCCAGTGCTGTACCGTGTCATCTTTCCTGTTAAATTATTTATCTGTTAGTACATGGAATGTGAGTCCTTCCTGTGATTTTCCCCAATAAAGTTCATAAGCAATGGTAAACAAAAAAAGTTTTTTCTAAAAATGATTTCAGTGACTACCGTCCCCCCCCCCTCCCCCCAAACGGACGTTTGCCCTAAATTTATTAAATAATTATTAGATTATTAACTGATAGAAATTTAGTTGCAGGAAGTAAAAACTTCGGAAAAAGAAACGAATTCAGGCCCAGCAACACACATATGAGTGACAAAATCGGGCACTGTGATAGGACATTCATTTGTGCGTGTTAACCATTGAGTCGTGCATGTGTAAGTGGCATGGATGTCAGGTTGGTGCGACATTGTATTGTCTTGACGGTCTTACCGGCGACCACGCGTTAGTTTAACCCCCACTCCCTACCGCACACACTGAACCTAGGTCCCACGACAGAGTGCACTGTACACCCGTTTAGACCAGACTGACCAAGCATCCGTGCAAGGTTACCTAGTGTGTAGGTGGCGGCATAAATGTTGGAAGTGGGAAAGTTCGTAACGAATGGTAAAATTAGGTTTCAACAAAAATTGATTTTAGTGACCACACTGTTGCTGCTTCAAACGTCCTATAAAGCCAGACGTTTGGCTCCCATTTTTTTAATGGTTAATAAATTATTAAGGGCTAGAAATTTAGTTGCAGGAAGTAAAAATTTCTGAACAAGTACCGAACTCAGACCCTGCAACACACGTATGAGTGTTTTAACCGAGAAGACATGGGAGGGTCACTGTTTTCTGTTTTAACCTATAGGGAAGGGAAACGACTCTTTCCATTTTAGCGACTGATAGCCTGGCTGTTTTAACCGAGGAGACTTGGCAGGGTCACTCTTTTCTTTTTAAAATTTGGGAAGCGAAACGACTCTTTTCTTTTTTTTCCGACTGGCAATAGCCAGGTTGTTTTAACCGATGAGACTTAGAATCGTATCATATCATATAGAAGAAAACAAAAATAGCAAGCTTAGACCTTTTTTAGCCGCCTGAAGGCCTGCTTTCTCAAGGACGGTTTCTTTGCTATTTGATTTGAATCTGTTTCTTTGTGGCAATCATTTTTGCCTAAGTTTTGATTTATTTGCAACATCATGTCAGCGTGTTCAGGCTTGGCAGGTGATTTCCATTTGTTTGGGTGTGGAACTGGCAGCCCTAAAAAGGACTGTCATTTTTGCCTGGAGAGGCCTGAAACGGGAATGGGTGGGGTCTCCTGGTGGCTGGCTTCTGCTTTTAGGGCTGGCGAAGTCCGTGCTTTCTCTGTTTGGTGAGCTGGCTTGTCCGTAAAGATGCAGTCATAGTTTATGGGCTCTCTTCAATGGCTGCGCGGTCAGTCTTCGTCTTCTGCTGCTTTCTGGGCTATTACGGGTCGCTTCGAGTGGGTATGTTGGTCAAAACTGGCAAGTCTATTACATTTCATGTGTCTGTCTATTTCTTCGGGTAGTGGGTCTTCGTCTTCTGACAACTCCAGGTCGTAACAGATCACATAGCGGTCTCTCTCTCTCTCTCTCTCTCTCTCTCTCTCTCTTCTCTCTCTCTCTCTCTCTCTCTCTCTCTCTCTCTCTCTCTCTCTCTCTCTCTCTCTCTCTCTCGCTCTCTATCACGAACTTGTAGGGGTGTACCTGTTTGTTGCAACTGTGTAACATCGTTTGAATGTCAGCCTCGCTGATTTCCCTGTCAGCCTTTCTCTCTGTTTGTTGGTTGACTGTTATGCATCTCCGATGACTGAATTTTGTTCTGAGTTATTGGCTTTTCGGTCGGTTTCATTGTATTCTGGTTTTTGCAGTTCTTTTGCTGCAGTCACAATTTTATCAATTCGGTCTGCATCACTTGCCAGTTTCTGTTGAATTTCGATGAATTCTTTAATTATGCCTCGAGTCTTGGTCAGTTCGTCTTGTTCTTTGTCAATTTTTTTCAATTTGTGCCCTTTTCTCCTCATTCACAGCTATCACCTTCTGGAGTTCTAGGACAGCAGTGAGAGTTTTAGCTTTCTGTTGTGTGAGTTTGGCGACTTCGCGGTAGGCGTCCTCATGGGCTTGTTTTAGTTAGGTCATCTCCTTTATTCTTGTCGGCGCCTTTCCTCTGCTACCTGGGACGCTTCAAACCTTGCGATTAGAGAGCTGTCGTCTACTTTGGTATTTGCGGCTTCTTTTTGGTTTCGGTATGTTGTGCAGCTTGCATTATCCTGTCCTCTTTCGGGGCTTTTATTTCTCCCAGTATCAGGGCGATGAGTTCGAGTGTCTCTGCTCTTTCAGCGGCGGCGGCAGTTTTCTCTTTCTGTTCTTCGGCTTTTAAATCCGAAATCGCGTGTAAAAGTTCTGGGTCTCTGGTGGCTGCGTTCTTCTTCTCAGGTGCTCTGGTTTTTTATTGTCGTGTGGGCTGGCTTCCCGGCTGGTTTGTGCTAGTCGGGCTAGTTGGTCTGGGCGCCTGGTACCTTTTTGTCGAGTCTGGGCGGTGTTTCTTGATACGGCACTGGACACCCCTCTCTTCATGTCTTTGAGGTACGGGCAAGCCCAGA